CCCTAAAGTGCCTCAGATATATAGCGCTTCAGCATCTGTCACATCTCTTTTGCTTTCCTTCTCCTCTTCTCCCCCAATTTATGTTTAACCGTAAACTTGAGTAGTGTACCATATCAATTGTAAATGAACTCCACATAGTATAACGTAAGAATGTGTACCAGAATAGCCCAATAATAGCCCTAAGAAACATGTAATAGGTGCTGGATAGACACCATGAGGCTATTTTGTATCTTGGTCAGTTCTGTACCGTTTTCTACCAAATAAGTGTTGATTACCAGCTATTTGATGTCGATTTCAGGGCCTGAAGAGACGAGAGGCATCTGCCATCATATTTTTGAGATATCTGTCATGCTAAGTTTCATGATTCATCAGGAGGGTGTACTCTATCTTTGTGAGTTCTCCATCACCATCCTTCATTAAAGGCTCGTTTACAACATATTCTAGTGTAGTTTGAAGGTCCCGAAGAGACAAGAGGTTTGCGTGTCCGCGTTCTGGAGATATCTTCCATTTTCTGTTTTGGGGAGCAAGTACCTTAGGTCAGTCAAATTTCCATCGTTTCTTATGATCTAGGGCTCGTTTAAAACATATTCTAGTGTCGTTTGAAGGTCCCGAAGAGACGAGAGGTTCGTGTGTCCGCGTTCTGGAGATATCTTCCATTTTCTGTTTTGGGGAGCAAGTACCTTAGGTCAGTCAAGTTTCCATCGTTTCTTATGATCTAGGGCTCGTTTAAAACATATTCTAGTGTCGTTTGAAGGTCCCGAAGAGACGAGAGGTTTGCGTGTCCGCGTTCTGGAGATATCTTCCATTTTCTGTTTTGGGGAGCAAGTACCTTAGGTCAGTCAAATTTCCATCGTTTCTTATCATTAAGGGCTCGTTTAAAACATATTCTAGTGTAGTTTGAAGGTCCCGAAGAGACAAGAGGTTCGCGTGTCCGCGTTCTGGAGATATCTTCCATTTTCTGTTTTGGGGAGCAAGTACCTTAGGTCAGTCAAGTTTCCATCGTTTCTTATGATCTAGGGCTCGTTTAAAACATATTCTAGTGTCGTTTGAAGGTCCCGAAGAGACGAGAGGTTCGTGTGTCCGCGTTCTGGAGATATCTTCCATTTTCTGTTTTGGAGAGCAAGTACCTTAGGTCAGTCAAATTTCCATCGTTTCTTATGATCTAGGGCTCGTTTAAAACGTATTCTAGTGTCGTTTGAAGGTCCCGAAGAGACGAGAGGTTTGCGTGTCCGCGTTCTGGAGATATCTTCCATTTTCTGTTTTGGGGAGCAAGTACCTTAGGTCAGTCAAATTTCCATCGTTTCTTATGATCTAGGGCTCGTTTAAAACATATTCTAGTGTCGTTTGAAGGTCCCGAAGAGACGAGAGGTTCGTGTGTCCGCGTTCTGGAGATATCTTCCATTTTCTGTTTTGGAGAGCAAGTACCTTAGGTCAGTCAAATTTCCATCGTTTCTTATGATCTAGGGCTCGTTTAAAACGTATTCTAGTGTCGTTTGAAGGTCCCGAAGAGACGAGAGGTTTGCGTGTCCGCGTTCTGGAGATATCTTCCTTTTTCTCTTTTGGGGGGAGTTGAGCTGTAGCTCAGTCAGCTTTCCACCATTTTTCTTCACTGAAGGCTCATTTACATTGTATTCTAGTCGTATTTGAAGGAGCTGAAGAGATGACATCCATACATGCTCCTATTTCTATGCTATCTCACATCCTCCCCTATTTTTTTTGCGAATTTTTATTTATTTTCATAATCATTTGGTTTCTATTATAGTTCTATGCTCGAAATATACATTACACTGTGTATCTATCAGGTAGACAGCATCTAATTTACCCAGATTTATAGTCACATCACTTTGAGAATTATGTGCCGGCTTGAGCTGGCTTTGGGTCAGCTAAAAGCCGAGCCAAGCCACTTAAGGAAATTTAGCTGGCTTACATAAGCCAGCTCTCGGCTAGCTGAGCCGCAGCAACACTACTGATGAGTCATTATCTTTTGTGATTGTGGGCCTATTTCAGGGCCAGCCCGTGACTTACTGATAGACCGACTGTCGACAACAAGTTCTTGCCAACACCTTCATCGGGAAATTGGGGTTCAACAGGCAAGTGACTACATGACCCCAAGTCCACCAGCAACAACTTGAACCTCACCCCTTCCCACTCAGCATTGACCGTGAACAAAATCCCGTTTCTCTTTACTCTGTCTTTCTCATCTGACATCATTCACGACTCATTGACTCCGGCCTCCAACTTAAATGACCTGCAAACTAGTTCAGCGCTCTCAACCAACTTCAAGTTCTTCCTGGAGAAGAAATTCCAAACCAAATTTCTCCAATGAAGCACCTCTTCGATCTGCTTTGCCTGATCTACTGGAGGGCTTTTCTTTGGACTCATCACTGGTAAGTAGAGCTTCCCAGAGATTGCATTTGTGTGCTCAGCGCTTTTTCAAGAACCCCCCACCGCCTCTCTCCTTAGGCACATATTCAGACTCTTCTTCTATGATCTCAGATTCTGCAGTGATGTATAGAATACCGCCCCCTCCACCCCAAAGAGAAGGGATGCCACATCAATCGCTTTTTCGGTCTCCTCTGCCTGACTTACTTCAGGACTTCCATACGAGCTCATTGGATTCCCCAATATCACACTGCCTTTATGCTCAGCCCTTTTTCAAGCCCCCACCACCACATCCCTTCTCAGACATTGACTCCAACTCTTCTACAATCTCAGAGACATCTACAGCGCTGCCTGCTTCATTTTTTTCACGGATAGAGGGCCCATTGCCATGTGTGGCATTGCCAGAAAAGGCAAAAGCGGAGCCCCCGTTAGCCTGGGACCCACAAATTGATATTATGTTAGAGCAACAGGTATTTCACCCATCTTCAGCATCATATAGACACTCAGAATGTGTAGGAAAACAGCCGTTGTTCAGCGGGTGGTGGAGAAACCACAGTCACCGATCCCTATTGCCCTTGTGCGTTGGAATTGGAAGATATGTATTGTCAAGCCATCGACATTCGCGACTCACTGTTCCTTGATGCCGCCTCAATACAGGTTGAGCTGGCAATGCACCTGAAGAAATCTCATATACGATTTCAGGAGCTATCCCAGCTCTGCATTTCGATTGATAAGGCGAGCCAAGCAGCATGGCTCATCAAATCACACAGTGATGCAAGGAAGCACCCAATCAACTTTTTTCTGCTAGAATTTGCTCGCCCCGATCACCCTCGAGCATCTCAGCTTCTTTCCTGCTGTGAACTTCAGGACCGTTTGAAGAAGAGTAGGATGTTCATGGAGAGGACCGCAGAAGCGCGACAAGCGTCCAACGGTATATTGAGGATCCTTTTTCACTCGTTGAGGGCCGACTTCGGTTTCGTTGTCCATCATGCACGCAGAGACACATCCTTTGACTTTTGATGACATTTGGGTAACATGCTTCTGGAAATCTATGCAACACCATGTACTATCAAGTCAATGAATTTTAATCGAAATAGAGTTTTTTACGAACAAGAGTACATACGATAATGGACAAGAGTTTAGAACTTCAAGTTGGTGTTGACTCGGACTCACCATGGGCGGGGAGTGTGCCAGTGGCCGCGTTGGAGTCCGACTCGGAGTCCTGTGACTGTGACTCGGATTTTCACTCTCCACTGCGATCCAGCAGCAGTGCCTGGTCCAACTCTCACCTAGTACACCCGTCTCCTGCTCACGCCCGTCTCCCGCTCATTCGCCCATCTTCTGCCACGCTCCTTATATAGCCTCGGTGCGATTGGAAGGCGACCACGCCCAGGTAAATATGTGCGTATATGGTTACTCCTTGAGGGTAACGTTGGACTTACCTTGCAGTTAATAGACCTCAAGGATGCTCAGGTCCTCGTGCATTCCTCCCAACAGTTCCATTGGGATTGAAGGTTTGCAACGCATGTCGATATTTCCAATGGTGAACTCATGTTGGGCATTTGCAGGTACACTCGGAAACCCTTGAACGGCTATCTCTATTTTACGAAACTTGACTTTGCGTCGTTTTGTTCAGTTCATGACTTTGACTTTGCGTCGGTCCCTCTCTCAAAACTCGTGCATGACGTTGACTTTGCATCGCTCACACTGGATTTGACTTCGTGTCGTCTGGGTTACCTTAGGATCCACGCCTAGGGTGCGTTTATGCGAATAATGCCGGGGCGTTGAATTGAACTGATCATGTAACAGAGCTCTGACTTTGGGATACTCGACACATTCAACCAATCAACCCTGCAAATTGAGAGTTTACTATGTACGTAGAGATAAAACAACTGAGACATTGAACTGACTCTGACTGTACGTAGATTCTGCAACGATCACTCAAATCTTGTATGTAGAGAATGAGATTTCACCGTATTGAACTTAAGTACTCGTAGAAAGCATGCAAAACTGTCCCATAACACCTGAGATACTGGACAAGGACCCGCTCCTTCTCCTTCGTAATCGAGGCAAACCACATGAATGTACGTATCTGTTCTCACCTTCTGGTGCAGTACACTAAATCCGCCACAGCAATACAGTGGTGCGATGGACGGGTGGGAGCCGTTCTTCGAGGCGGATATTTCTTCGTCACCAGCCCAAACATGGATGTGGTATATGAGCCACCCCTTGGCAAAAATCAAGCAATGTTCCTTTGATGCGACTTCCGTTACGCAGATGACGACCCACTTCTCTGGCCCCAGCCATACGTCAGCTCAGCCTGTCACCATGGCGCAATCCCGCGCAGGCCAGAACATGATGACTGAAGGGATATCTTGTGGTGGAATCCTGACCAGACAGATCTGTTAGTCAATTCTTCTGACCTAGTCCTGGGCATCAGGAAAATTCCTCATGACCGTTTGGTCCAATTTCGACAATTAGTGGGGGAGCTCCAGGACCGTGTTCAGGAATACAAATTAGACAAATCTCATCCAACGAAGAATTCGGAAATATTGACACTATCGAACTGGTTAGGTCAGGGGCTCTCTTGTCTTGAACGACTACCAATGGATTTCACACAACTCAAATTCTGTGTGGCTGAAGTCCAACGAGCTTTTTTAGAATTGACAGCTGGCCTCGACTATCTTTATATCTACAAACCCCGAATGGACGGGATTCTACCGCCTGCCACCGAAACTGCGCAGACCATTGGTGTATTCACCATGGATTCGACTATTCTGCAGGAGTTTACGAGGGCTGGGCTCCCTGTCTGGTTCATGCGCCCTGCTCATACCTTGCCAGGTGTTCGTGTCAATTCAATCGTCGAAACAAGGAAGCCAAATGAATTTCTCGAACTTCGTGAGGCCGAAACGAAGTTTGATACTGTTTTTTGCGGTTCAGCCGATGATCCAAAAAAACGCAGGGCAATAGTGCAATACTTTACCCTCCCCGGGTTATTCCATATGGACTGGATGGAATCCATACTTCCCCCAGGTGGATTCCATGGAATGGCTGATGGATTCCATGGAATGGTTGATGGAATCCATACTTTTTCCAGATGGAATCCATACTTTGGTTGATGGAATCCATGCTTTTTCCAGATGGATTCCATACTTTGGTTGATGGAATCCATGCTTTTTCCAGATGGATTCCATAATTTTTTTGGATGGATTCCATACTTTTTCCATGTGGAATCCAGATGGAATAACTGTATGGAATCATAATTCCAGACTTATCTAAGTCCACATCATCAGTTCTACAGTTAGTTTTACACTTATTCCATACTAATAACTGAACAGGGAGAATTTAAAATGTATTGAATAGGACTACATATATTTATTTTACTACATTAAATATTGAAGGGAGAAGTGATTGAGAGGAGTGTGTGTGGTGGAGAGTGAGGGCGGAGAGTGTGAGGGGGAGAGAGTGGTGGGGATTGATGAAGGGAGGGGGGACAATGGAGGGAGAGGGAGCAATGGGAGGGGAGCAATGGGAGGGGGGAGGGAGGGGGAGCTCACCTAGGCTTGTCCTTGCCCGTGTCCGTTCACGTTGGTGGGCGGTCGTCGTCATTTCGTGGGCGTCCGTTTTCGTTGGTGGGTGCTCGTTGTCGTTCGTGGGCACTCGCGTTGGGGATGGTGCTGGGTCTTGTGGGCGGTCGTCGTCTTCGTCTGCTGGGCGTTCGTTTTCGTTCCCGTGCAGTCGTCTCGTGGGCGTTCGTGGGCGCTGCGGCTCGTTTGGGTGGGTGTACATTGTTCATAGGTGGGCGGGCTCGTCTGTTGTCGTGTCATGGGCGTTTGGGGTCCTTTGGGGTCGTTTGTGGGCGGTGGGGGTTGTGCAGGGCGGTGTGCGTCGTTCATGGGTGGGCGGCCTCGTTGGTTGACGTGTCGTGGGCGTTCGCTGTCGTGTCTGGGCGCTCGTTTCTTTTCGTGGGCGCTCGTGGGCAGTGGGGGTCGTGTGGGGCGGTGTGCGTCGTTTGTGGGTGGGCGGGCTCGTCGGTTGTCGTGTCCGTTCGTCGTTTGGTTGCCACGTCGCTGACCGCGACGTGGCACCTGGTTTGTTGTTGTCAAAAGGTAGACTGGGAGGGGTTACCCAGTCCATTTACCTGGGCTGGAGTCGAGGCAGAACGTCCATTGACGTTCCGCGTCGTCGTCGTCGTCGCCTCCCATCCGCGTGACGGCAGCGTGGTGGTGGTGGTGGTCGTCGTCGACGTCGATGTCGTGGGCGGTCGTGGCTTGAGATGGTGGGGTGGATGGTGATGGTGGTGGTGGAAGGAAGAAACGACGTGGCATTGGCAACGCGTCGTGTCACGTTTGAGATGCCACGTGACAAAGGCGGTATATATATACCTTTACTTTACCTTATGATAATGCCTTCGTGGCTCAGTTGGTTTGAGCACTGCTAATATTGATGAGGTTGACTGTTCAATTCCTGTTGATGTAAAATTTCTATTTTTACTTAAATATAGTAAGGACACTATAAATACTGTATTCTAATGGTATAATGGTCATCCATGGAATCCATGTGGACTGCTCCATGGAATCCAAGGTGGATATGCCTGCATTCCATGTGGAATCCAATGGAATCCATATGGAGTGGTGTTGGAGTCCATATGGAATTAATCATTCCATATGGAATCCATGAGGTCTATGGAATAAGAAAATGGCTGGGTCCTCAGCCAACATGGATTCCATACGGAATAACCCGGTGATACGGAGTGTAACAATACACCCGTAAAAATGCGAATTTTAGCGATTTCTCCTATAAAACCTCCTATAGTAGAAATACAGTCACATTGATCATAAGGATCGTTAGACGCAACCTGGTCTAGTCGATTAAAGTTTACATCCGAGAAATGTGCACGCCTTAGACAGTAGGAATTGCGGTCGGTTCGTGACCGAATCACCTCAATATACTCGAAGTCTAATAAAAGGCTACACTACCATGAAATAGTACGCTACCGCGTGTTCTAGAGTAAAAACACCCCCGCACAGGGTGTTGGAGTTTACACCAAACCAGGGTCTCACTTTATTATGGATTAAAAGATATTAATTCTAAAAGATAAACGCGCGAGCGTAGAAACTCGACGCGTACCTGACGCGAGAAGTCATTCGGTCACGTGCTACGAAGCATGATCCAAGAAGTCATGTGGAGAGACGCATCACGCGCATCACGCGCATCAACACATCACAAATCATGGCATCATTGACCCAAGAAAACTAAGCTTCGTGAAATATTCCGAAGCCTGCCAAAAGAGAAAAACTATGAACGATTTGCCGTGCGGTCCGAGGCCCGGGCATAGTATCTAATAATAGAGAGAAAATCACTAAGCGGACCGTTCGTCTCGGCTGAACCGATCGTGAAAACCGTTTACGGCGATTCCCGTGTACGCATCAATACTGATGCGTCGCGTCGCCACAATAGAGAAAACACTACGAAAACTTAAAAGAAGTCAGCTCAGTTGTGCCACGCACAATCGAGCCACTTCAAACCTTTACTAAAAATTCAGTATTAATTCGTCCGACCTCTCGGACAAAGCATGGACATATAAATATAAATAGAAGACATAGAATAGTATAAAAAGAGGATGCGCGCAGGCTGAAACGGGAGGAATTATCCCCCGCGTTGACCAGCTGTCGCACTCCCAGTAGCATCTGAGGTAGTGGATAAGTTTGTAATCAATTTAAGGACTTTTCTTCGCAGACATAAGTAACGTGTGCCTGGAACCAGTGTGTTAAGTGGGGATCACAAAGCTTTTGTAAGGTTGTCTCGTCAATTAGTAAGAGAGCTCTCTACTATTACCGAGGAATCCAAGTGAGCGTGCTTGAGGAGTCTTTAAGACTAGTTTGGACCGCATCAGAGGCATAATAAAAACTCAAGGGAGTTATAAAAAGTCTACAAAGCACAATTTCCTTGTCATTTCTTCGTATACAGTTAGAGCGCAATCCCAGAACACTGAGACAGTCCCAATAAAAGCCGTTTCCCTTCAAAGACTACTAAAGTTTCGAATTCTACACTGTGTCCGCACGTAAAACAATACCTTTTGTTCCGAAAAGGTCTACTAGACTTAGACAAGTGATATAAAATATACAAAAACGTTTCCCCGAACTTCTACTTAAGTTCTTACAAAACAAGTGTGGTAATTCTGTTTACCGTACGAACCCGAACTCGAAGTACCGAGCACGTACCTGTGGTGATAAGTGTTTAAGGTGTTTGTGTGTGTGTGTTGTTTAGGTGTTCACGCATCTTGTCAGCGCGTCCGATTGCACTATTCTCACTCCCGCGTGCCACGGTCTTCTCACCGGGGAAGGTAAAGACCTCGAAAAAAGTCTGAAAAACTGGGCTACCCACCAAATCCATTGAACATTTACACTTGGCTTCACAACACATTTCGTCATATCGGAAAGGAAAACACAGGTGCACTGGAGGACCTTCTTTGGAGTTCTGTAAATTCACAACAACGCGCTTGCCCTAGGCTCATCAACTCTTGAACTTCGCTATAACTATGTTGCAACACACGCTGAAGGACGGTGCCGGCAGATTTTCTGTTGCAATTGACCTGACCTGGCTGATTGTTCTCGTTCCAACCGATTTACTGGACCTTGCGTTGGTTGATGATCCTCTCACCTCTCTTGTCACCGATGTTTCTCGGCACGATAGCCAGCTGACCATTGATCCTCTGTTCAGACACATCATTTTGTCGGCAGGCGCGGGTTATTCGGAGTTTGTTTACAATCTAGCACTCAAGTGATATTGAATGTGCATTTGACACAACTCCGCCGATTCTCTTCTTGGACCCTGGTCAAAGTCACGTCAAATCAAATGACGTAGTGTTTTTGCAAGTTTTACGGTAGTACTGTAAAACTTGCATCCAAAAACCAAAAAAGGAAAGGTGTCTGAGACACCCCATCCACAATAACGTTGCAATTGCAGAACAAAATACAAAATGTGTCTATGTTACCCACTCAACCGCGCACACTGCATGACGACTACGCCTCCAGAGGAATTCGTAGTCAAGGATGGCGAAATTGCAGGACGTTTGCAGTTCAACCCTCATCGCGACGCCTGGTTCCTACTTCTGTACGCCGTGAAAGAACACCCGCTGGTTGTCAGCAGACATCTCTTGCAGACAATCTACGTTTATATAGAAGACACCTCTCAGGGTGCTTTGACGAAGAAGTTAACATTTGAAAATTCTCTACACGTACCTTTAGGACCCGTTGATACGATGTCAGATCAAGGTGAGTCAGAAATTGATAATGGACAATGGTACTAACAAAGTTTCTAGGCCTGTTTGAAGTTGGAGACCATTCTGTGATATTTTCTAGGCCACTTAGAGAGGATAGGAGACAAATACCAATGACAAACTTAAATTGTCCACCTGTTCAGCAAGTTCCGCTTGACCTTGAACCTATACTTCAATATGCCGCAGAAAGACCAACTATACCAACCTTCAATATATTTCATACTGATTGTAACATAACATCTATAAGGGTTCTATTGGCAATCAACCCCTTCAAATTGAACAACTGCTGTATTCTAGGCGATGCCCTCTTATCAAGGTGAGCTCTTTAATTTTGGCATGTATGTAGGAGGCCATTGAAGGAAGGGACTCCCATTAACCGTCCATCATAAACCCTCTGATTGCATCATTCAACTGGTCATATGATATTTGCTCCCTGCTCGCCAGGATTGCAACATATAAGTCGCGGTTATCGAATGAGGAAATTCGGTGTGCAGATATTGTTACTGAAACCCCTTGGTACGTTCTGTACACGTAGTCTCTTTCCGGAGGATACACGATATTGACTTGTCGTGCAGATGCATCAGCTGAGGTGGTGGCGTAAGGTACGATATGTCGACCGCTGTGGCGAGCAACTCCTGTGAAGTGATTCTGGGTTGGTAGGTGGAATTGATTTGGGTGGTCTGAATCAGAGTCGAAAGGCGTTTGTAGTCCGGTAAATTACTAGACACTCACCCCAGATGTGGTCATGAGTCATTACAACCACTGTCCCCTGCATGGCTGCATCTGCCTGGTCTATGTGTGGATTTCCATACGTTCCCAGGCCGAAACCAGTGAGTTCGTCTTCAGCAGTGTTCATTCAAGAGAAGTTCTGTGTTTCTATTTACTCCAGATCAATATTCGTTCAACTTGTAAAGACTTACACAGTTCACGAAGTCAATCGAGGTTCTCAAATTATGAGTGAACTCTAAGGAAGGTGGAAGTTCCAAGTAAGTGCCTTCTGAGACATAGCTATGGCCGAAAACTCGATTAGTAATTCATTCCATAAAAGGCTCCAATCATCTGGTACGTTGACTCGCTGCGGAGGAATGGACATTTCTGTTGTTCAAGCGTCGCTTCAAGGCATTGCACCTACTTTCTCTGCAATACTATTCCATCGGAAAAAATATGTTGTCGTTGCAAGCTGGTTATGGTCTTTGATCAACCGGCGGTTGCATGGAAGGTGCTGCTCATATGGTGCTCCTTTCATTTGTAGGCCTTCACTGTATCAGTATAGTCGATGCTAACGAAACGGCTTAGGCAGGAGTGCCGCCGGCAGGGAACGTGGCCCCACTCAAACCATCTGGGACGTGCCAACGTCCAGCGGCAGTTCAAAATGATGTTGTCAAGAACATGCTACAAGGCAAGCCTTGACATTCTAGGCCTAGTTACCACCACCATAGCCGACGCCAAACCGTGCACAGTTCATGATGACGGGAAATCCGACTTGAACACTTTGAAGGCGAGGTACACCGGCGCAACCATGTCTTGTAGTTTTCATATTCATCGAGGTTCTGTTTAGGTTACTATGAGGTCAAGTGGCCACACAGAGTGGAGTTCATGTAAAAACAGAAACATTTGGCCTGATAGATCAGAGGTCTTGGCGGCTTTGCTTTTGGGTCAGTTAGAGTCTCTTCAACTGCCGTTGAACACGGAAAATAATGTATACTTTTGATCCCACAGAAAGTTCAATGCCAGATCCAGCGTATTCGACTCTAAACCCCGCACTGTCACTATCTCAGAAGGCTCGCATTGCACAACGAAAGACGAGACGTTCGGGCCTCAGCAGTCGTTGACTTTGAATGCGCCTTGTCCGTCTTCGGTTCAGGAGAACCCCTCCATCTAGTGCAGCTGCCTCCTGGTATCTCTGCCTGCCCCATGTCAAGACCAAGTGATTTATAAATGGCGCAGTTTCTCGTCCTCCTGATGCAACCTATACTGTCCTCGGCACCCTTTACATCGAAGCATGGAACTGGATCTGCGACATCACCCGAGTCTCTGGGCTCATCAGTGGTGATGGTCGCAGTCGCCCTGCCACTTCTGCTTCAACATCATCGTGGCTCCCATTCTCCGCCAACAGCAATGCAACACCCAACCCCGCTAGCCACGTACAAGGGTCAAACATTGACCCAGAGGATGTTGTTGACCGCATCCAAGTTGCCTCCCCCTAAATCACCTCGCCATCAAAGACAGCAACAACCATTCCCATCGTTTGCATCATCATTGTCAACGAAGCCGGGAGCTGCTGCGAGGCCAGGCCTGGCGCCAGCACCGGGGGAGGAGCCTCCGTTCATGCTCTGGCCTCCTAACGCCATTACATGCAAAGGCCCGTCATGGACTGCTACTTTTGGTCCATGCAATGCGAATGTACCCTCCCGTCCAAGACCCTCCAATAGAACCACAAACATCGATCATTCTTTCATTTCTTGCGCAAGAAAGCATTCTATTCTTTCTGTACCTGCCCACTAAACGGTATTGTGTCAGGCGCTGCCATATGGGAACGTGGCTTCTACAATGTTTACTACGACGTTTCTACAATGGCCTTCAATTTCGCCTTTGCCAAATTCAACTTGCATATCGTTGGCACGGCACTGGACCCCAGGGCATACATTCCGCAGGCTGCTCCTGCCGCGGTTTGTTATTCGAGTTCAAGGTTGCAATCCCTATGGCCGCTCCGAGTCCTGCCAAATTTGGAAATCCCAGCCGAGATAAGTTCTGCTTAAGATCAGCACAGGGTAGGAGCGTGCTCGTCTCATTATACCACTGCGGGATATGCGAAGGGCTTCCCTACAGGGTTGTTAAATTTTTTGGGCCTGTACTGTGACCAAGTTTTACCTGCCATCTGCAAACCTGCGCACTTATTCCGTTAGACTGCCATCAAATCACAGATGCCATTCCGGATCAGCAGAAGTTTCCAACATCAACATCAGCCGCCCAAAAATAGGCTGTGTCACCGTGACTATGGGTATGAAACGTGATCACATTATGATGATAATTTCAATTGGTTGCGGAGTCCGGGTACCCAGCCAATGCCAGCTGGTGAAGAACAGGCTTTCAAAAGACGCAGCCACGTCGCTGCTTCCATTGCTTCCCCAACTTCATCTACCAGCCCACAATGGATGCAGAAGATCCACTATATCCTGATACAACGGCCTTCAGCCAAACTTGTGGGGGTTGCGGCCGATCTTTTGCGCAACTCAACGCCTTCACCAACCATTCATCTAGCTGTGGGAGAAAGAAGAGGCTATTTTCTTCTACCCTCGCATCAGCACAGGAAGCATACAGAAAACAAAAGCAGCGCCGCCTTGAAGAACGCCAGAAGCTGCCATTCGCACCTGATGTTCAAGACAAACAGCCGCAGGTAATTGCTTTGTCACAAAATTCGCTCTTGGATGATGTCTAACGGTTCCTACCTCTACCCTTCGTTGATAGGACCTGAATACGCCGCCTGTCAGCATTCCAGCAATACTTACGAACCTGATGATTCTCGCTCTCTTGCCGAACGCAGAGTTCGCCACAATATTTGTTTACCTGTGTGCTTTCGCGATGAGCAACCTCAAGCGCAAGCTGCGCTTCCACCTCCAGAAATGGTACTTCCAGAAGTTGTTCATTCTGAGCCTGCGGAACCTATAAGTAGTACCACAATGAAAATCCGAAAACTCCTTACATCTCCCCGCAATGTATTTGGACTGTTCCAGCAGTACGGGGCAGAAGGATTCCCCACACATGACCCCGAGGTGGAGCAGCAGCACACCGCTCTCTCCGAAGTCGCATCCGATCATAAAGAAATACTGGTGGGAAGTGCTATCTTTGGCCCCTATCCAAACAAATCCGCATTTCTTCTTGGCGAATGGTACTGGAACGACGGGATGCAGAAAACAAAGGCAGGTTTTAAACGGTTAATTGATATCATTTGCAGGCGGGATTTTAGGCCAGAAGATATCCAAGGTGTTCCATGGGATGCTTTGAACGAGCAGCTGGGGGGATCAGAGGCAGCTGGCGATGTGGAGGACACATGGTACGATGAACCCAGTACTTTATAGTGCCCCACCCATTCCTGCAGAAATCCACAGGAATCCACCGGAGTCCGCAGGAATCCGCAGGAATGGGACAGGAATCCGCAGGAATCCACAGGAATGGGACAGGAATCCACAGGAATCCACAGGAATGGAACTGGAATCTGGTGAATTTACACTAATATACACTTCTTATTTAGTTATCCTCATCATCCTGGACTTCTTCATCCAAACCCAAGTTATCCTCCTCACCTTCTTCTGGTTTCTTCATCTGCTTCCTTTTTGCTAGATACATTTACACTAATATGCACTTCTTCACACTGACTTAAAGGGTATGAACACTTTCTTATAATATTTATATATTAAAACTCAAATCTACATCTAATTTACTATTTTCTAAGTTAAATGAAGGGGCAGGAAGGGAAGGAGGGAGGGAGGGAGGGAAGGAGGAAGGGAGGAAGGAAGGGAGGGAGGGAGGAAGGGAGGAAGGAAGGGGGGAGGAAGGGAGGGAGGGAGGGAGGAGGAAGGAAGGAAGGAGGAAGGGAGGAAGGAAGGAAGGGGGGAGGAAGGAAGGAAGGGATGGAGGGAGGGAGGGAGGAAGGGAGGGAGGAAGGAAGGAAGGGAGGGAGGAAGGAAGGAAGGGAGGGAGGGAGGGAGGAAAGGGGGAGGAAGGAAGGGAGGGAGGGAGGAAAGGGGGAGGAAGGAAGGGAGGGAGGGAGGAAAGGGGGAGGAAGGAAGGGAGGAGGGACAGGCAATGGTGTGGGGCAGGCCCTGGGGAGGGGATGGAGGGGGAGAGAGTGGTGGGGACTAATGGTACTCACGTTGCGTCATCTCGTTCCTATGTCGCGTCGTCGTCGTCGTTCCTACGTCGCGTCGTCGTCGTCGTCGCATTGTTGTTGTCATCGCGTCATCGTCTCGTACCCACGTCGTGTCGTCGTCGTCACGTTGTTGCCTCGTACCCACTTCACATCGTCGTCGTCGCGTTGTTGCCTCGTACCCACGTCGCGTCGTCGCGTTGTACCCACGTCGCATCGTTGTCGTCGTTTTGCCACCTCGTTCCCACGTCATTTCGCCGCCACGTTGCATTGGTGTCACGTTGATGATGCTGGTGGGCGCGTGGTGTGTCGTTCGTGGCTGGCTGGTGTGGTGGGCCCTGGTTGATGGCGGCGCCCGTGGATCGGCCATGTCGTTGTCGTGGGCGCTCGTGGATTGTCGTGGTGCCGCCTCGCTGGCAGTGGTCGCTTCCATTCGTTGCTGGTGTGGTCGTGGCCGTTGTTGGGTCGTGTGGTGTGGTCGTCGTTGTCGTCGTTGCCAACGTGGGTGGTGGGAGGGAATGGAAGTGGGGGGACGAGGATGGTTGGTGGTGGGTGAAAGGAAAGGGTGTTGCCATTGTTTGGTAACGTTGCCTTTGTTTGGTAGAAGAACTAAAATAAACAAATAAAATAAACAAACAAAGGACCGGATTCCGTTACATTCCGTTCCTGTGCATTCCGCGGATCATTCCGGTGTCAATTCCGGAATGCCCAAATTCCGCCGGAATGGTAAGGCACCGGAATGATGAAAATGGCAGGCCTCCCTGCCAAATTTCATTCCTCCGAAATCCACCGGAATCCGCAGGAATGACTGGATTCCTGCAGGAATTAGGGGGGCACTGATAAGACCTCTGATGAACCTGATGCTGGCTGGACCGCAACACCGATCTCTTTACCCATCCCAATCCACCGCCTAACAAAGAGCCCAGGGGTTCAAGAATATCATTTCCCCCCATTCCATCATTGCAGCATCATATCGATTCTTAAGGAGAAGATGAACAACACTAATGAGTTCCAACATTTCCATCTTGAACCCTATGAATTGTGGTGGCAAAAGGGGGCGCTGCTTCGGTTAGGGTTCAAGGAGAACTTTATACTTCTCCAGCATTCCTGGAGGCACACGAAGAAATACAGGCTTTACCCAGAGCACCCGGATGCACCCTCCAGCAGGTTGTTGTCGGTATCATGTATTCGTCGGACACCACCCACCTCATGTCATTCGGCTCTGCATATCTCTGGGCGCTTTATGTATATTTCGGGAACGAATCGAAGTATAGAAGATGCAAACCCAGCTGTAATCTCTGCCACCATGTTGCTTATTTCCAGAAGGTAAGGCACATTTGTTTTGGTGGTAAGGCCATGGCAATTGACTGGGCTGAAGTTGCCACCCGAATTCAAAGATTTCGCTGGGCAACATTTTGGTGTGAAAGGAGCAAGCAAGCCATTCATGGCGCATTGCCAGCATGAGTTTCTGCATGCACAGTGGAAAATCTTGCTAGATGACGAGTTCATGGATGCATATGAGAATGGTATTGTCATCATGTGCTGCGATGGGATTGCCCGATGTTTCTACCTTAGGATATTCTCCTATGCTGCCGATTACCCCGAGAAGTGTGTACATTGCTGCTTTTGGTGACTGTTGCGAGGCTGATCATATAGGGTTCTACTAACGACCATTCGTAACATGGGTGGTCGCCCATGTCCTCGCTGCCTTATTCCTAAGGGTCTTATTCATCAAGTAGGTACTGAATGCGACAAAGTACAGCGAAAACTTTCTGTGTGCACCAACGACAAGGTATACCAAGAAAAAATACGCGAAGCCCAAGCGCTGATCTACGAAAACAATTGGGCGGTTGAGAGCGCTCCAGTGCAGCGCATTCTCAAGCCGCATTCGCTAGTACCAACTCTAGTAAGTCTGTGGCACAGCGAACCAACTTTGTATCTAAGCTAAGGCTTGCCACAGAATGCATTTTCACGCTTCTCGCACTTGCTCTTCAATTTCTTTGAAATATTTCACATCGATTTTATGCATGAGGTCGAGTTAGGAGTTTGGCGGGCCCTTTTTCTCCATCTTCTTCAGATCTTGGATACTATTGCTGGAGCAACTGATATCCTCGATTTCCGGTCAGTACACTCCTCCATTTCAAAATAGGCCATCTGAAGAGATGTGATAGCTTCCGCGCGACGCCAACATTTGGCCGGGATTCTATTTGTCGTTTTTCAAGCAATATTTCTGAATTGAAGAAGCTTGGTGCAAGGGACTACGAAAACCTCCTACAAGTAAGCCACTGGATGAACCGGAAACATTTCGAAATATTCACATAGTGTTTGTAGTGCTCCATCCCAGTTTTTGATGGTCTTCTTCCAGAGCCACACAATTCCCTCCTTTTGGACCTTCTGTTCATTTTCGCACATTGGCATGGCCTTGCTAAACTCCGCCAGCACACAGACCTTACCTTGGGAATTTTAGAATCCACCACTTCTGCACTCGGGCAAGCTCTCCGCGATTTTCAAGAAAAGCTGTGTCCGGCCTTTGATACCAAAGAACTAAAGCAGGAAGCTGCAGCAAGGCAGCATCAACAAGCCAAGAAGGCTTCAGCGCCTGTGAACAAATCTGCACTGGCTGGAGCGGCAACCAGTAATGACACCAATATAAACACTGCGACCGTAGAACCACATACAACGCAGGGTGCCCTCTCTTTGACTGATAGCGCGGATGGCAGCACGACCAGTCGAAAAGCAACACAGGCAAAACTACCCCCCGGGAGGCGCAAGAAAACCCTCAATCTGAACACATACAAAGCGCATGCGCTCGGGGATTATGTTGAAATGATTCGGAGATACGGAACGACAGATTCTTATTCGACTGAGCCAGTAAGTTGACCATTGTCATTTTGGACCATGTCTTGCTAAGGCCTGGCATGGTGCAGTCGGAGCTTGAGCATCGAAACCCAAAATCTCGGTACAAGCACATGAGTCGCAAGAAATTCATCAAGCAACTGACTGAGATTGAGCGGAGGCAAGCTCGACTCCGCCGCATTCGGCAGAAATTAAACGCCAGGGAGGTGAGCGGCCCAAGAAGTGATGCAGCTGACAGTTTCCCTGGGTCTTCGAGCTGTCGATACCACATTGGAAGGACCCAAAACAATCCAGTGAACATTGGCTTATTCCTCTCAGAAAATTGCTTTGACCCTGCTGTTCAGGTAAACCTGGCTCTAAATTTGTATGCTTCTTACTGATCACACAACCTGCGCAGGGTTTCATGACAAAATTGAACACCCACCTCCTACCTAGAGTCCAAGAAAGATTAGAAGAGTTGCGGAATCTTCAAGGCGAAACAAGTGCCTCAAAGCCCCCAAACGTTGGCCTCTATGAGCATACAAAGCAGCTGGCTTTGAACTCCATCATCATCAAAGATAACCGCATGTACCTTCACAAACTTGCCCAGTTTTATAACACCACCTACGATGTGTGACGATCCGAAGATGTCATCAACCCAGGGACATCCCACCGTGACGTCATGTTACTTTCTGATCCGCTAGCCGGGAATGATTTCCCGACACATCCATTTCTATATGCACGAGTATTGGGAATATACCATGTCAATGTCGTCTATTCTGGACCTGGTATGCTCAATTATGAAGCGATGAGGTTTGATTTCCTTTGGGTTCGATGGTTCCAGGTTTGCACCAATGCGGCAACTGCTGGATGGGAAGCCTCTCACCTGGATCGGGTGTCATTTCCTCTGGTGGCCGAAATAGATGTGTTTGGCTTTATAAACCCTGAGCATGTTCTTCGAAGTTGCTATCTAAGCCCAGTGTTCTCTGAGGGCAAACGTCATCTGGATGGATGTGGCCTTTCCAAGATAGCAAAAGATGGTCAGGAATGGAAAGATTACTATGTCAATAGGTCAGTGAACAACACCTGCTTTCTAGATATGGCATCATCTAATCGTTGTGGCAGGTTCGCCGACCGCGACATGATCATGCGATATCACTGGGGCATTGGAATTGGGCATATGTATGCGCATGGCCATATATCTGCAGCTCAGACCCCCTCCGAACCGATCACAAATTCAGCACAAGTGGCTCCAAATCAAAACAATGGAGAAAACTGGAATGAAATGGGTGGGCGGCATGAAGACGAGGTGGGTTAGGCTGTTGCCGTGTACACCTAGGAGGATCTGTTTAGGACATTGTTACTGAGGACATGAAAAGGGAAAAGAACGGCGCACAGTTGTCCGAGAAGCAGCGCGGACTTGCTCATCTTTGGTCATATGTTCTGCTTCGAGGACTTGGAGTTCCCACTCTGGTTGCTGCTGGGAAGACTTGCTTGCCTCTGCCATTGGAGCCCACTTGCGATTGACTCCCCCACCCTTGACCAACTCCTTCTCTCCACCACCACCAGCCTCCCTCTCTGCATTCTTTCACACAACCAACACCTTCAGCTCCTTAACAAGTGCCTCATGATCCTCCTTCAAGAGCCTCTGCTTATGTGCACTCTGTCGCGAAATATAAGTGATGACGATCTTTTCTGGCATGAGCAACATCACCCCTGACACTCCGACGAGACGAGCATGATCTCCAATCTGCAACCCCTTCACCAATTCCACACTGTTCCCCTCATTCAAAGGCAACACAACAGACAAATTCCCCATCTTCACACCCACAAATCGCCAGATTGCCTCCCTCACAGGATCCCACCACCCACCCACACAAATCCCTCTCAATGTCCTGCAGACACGCATATAGTCCCAAGCCTCTGCCGCAGTCCTCTGCATCCGACTCCCACACATCACACCACAATGTGCTGCGCTTCGGTCTGCCAACAGTACCAACGGGAAGTGCCATGCCCTCACCTTGCTGGTGAAAGGCGACTCAATGCTAGCAGACACTCAATCACCCCAGTCTTCCTGGTGTTCCACTGTAAGAGATGGAAAGGCCACTCAAAGGAAGTATGCATTGAACCCAGGGTCGTCTCGCCATCCATTCGCGTCTGAGTGTATGAATATGGCCCAATGTATTCGCAGAGGCGTGGGGTGGATTGAAGAAGACATGGGGTTATGGGATGTGGGCAAGGAGAAGAAGCCATGCCAGAATGCTTGGACGCCTAGGAAGAGTTCAGCAACAAAGTGGTAGTAGTGTTGCAGGAATTGGGATGGGTCATTCAAGAGGAGCTGAAGGATCAAGAACGTTAATCATCAAAATGGCTAATTTGACGCCAAAGAACTCACTGTATTCCCATCAACCGTCCAAACTCTCTTTTCCTCGCCTTCTTTACCCCACATTTCCGCTGCCTCAAGTACACTCAAAAAGCGCATCTCCTGTTCTGTAGGTTCCCTCTGCACAATGTTATCTGGAGTATTGAGTGCCATGAGCCCCGTGCTAGTCATCATCCTGATCTCAGGTAATAAGCCGTCGACTTTCATGGTGCTGTATGACTCAGAGTTGCCTGTTGAAGGGGTGTATGATGAGTTGGGTATGATGGGGAATAATGTCCCATTCGACATATAGAAATTCTGGAATAGCGTCCATCCTTGGTTGGCGGGAGGGCATCGGATTGGGGTATATGTGTTGGTGAAGAAGGATAGGCTGTGGCGATTTGTTCTGATATGATTCCAGTAGGTGTTTGCATCTCCTTATGTGCATGTGCATTAGGAGCAACCAACACCACCAAAGCTGGCTTGTTAATCATCACCATGGCTGTTGACTGGCTTGTCATCTGTCGACTTGGGAAGAGGAAGGACGTAATGTGCATGAAACATGCTCTGAAAAGGACAAGGAAGGCATCTCGCCTTGAGAAATTACCTTGGAGGAACATATTGGGATGTGTTCAGGGACTCGTATTGTGGGGATCATCAGGCTTGCCAATAAGTGGGCAAGACGACGATTTAAAGAATGTTGTGGCGAAAAGAAGGTGGTGGATGCTGTTGACGGTTTGTTCACATTCGGTTATAGTCATCATCGTCGTCAGCAAGGAGGGGAAAGGAAAAAGAAGACAATGAGTTTCTTTATTTGGTTACATAACGTGAATACTTCAAATCGGGATTGCCTTGCTTACCTGGGATTCACACAAGAGTCTACAAGAGTAAGTACAGGTTGGAAGCATACAGAGCTATCGAGGCCGCAGTACTTAGTGAGTATGTGAGTATGATAAGACCACAATGGAGGCATCATATGCGTGCAACAAAGCCCAAGTCGCGTCGTGTATTCTTGGCGCGTTCCAGGGACGTGAATGTTATTTTTGGAGAGTTCAGCATCATCAAACAGCTTTGTCATGTATTCCTGCCTCCCTCCAGCCCTCCACTGGCAGGCTTTCTGCAAAATCCGAATCGACAATCAAAAGGATCAAGGCTCAAGAGATGAACTCACTGCTAATGACTTTGTTTTGTCACTATATATGATTGTTATACTGGTCTGGGGACGAAAATTACAGGAAATAGAATGAGAACAGTGTGTGAGTCACACAGACAGCGCGTCCGCATTTGGCCACAGAGGGTGCTAGTGATGCGTGATACCGCTATGGTGCCAGTCACCTATAGGCCGCTACTTTGGGACAGTGGCTGTGCAGTGGCCAAATCTGTGGCGAAAATTTTTGAAAAAAGACTGTAACCTTAGCTTTGTGAAGAGAAAAATTTCCAACATCTATTATCCCAAAGTACTCTCCAAAAAATTGTTTAACCCTACTTTTCCATGTCTCGTGGTCCAAAAATAAGAAGAAAACACCTGAGTGCTGCAATATGGGTCCGTTCAGGCAGATCAAATCACGAGATGCACCTCGTTGTTGTGGTCAAGGACTTCAGCTCTCGCAAACACATCTCCCACAGACATTTTCTCAAGACTCCAGCACCCCAATTTGATTTTTAAATTATGATTAGATTAGATTAGGACCCTTAATTTCCTTTTTAGGACAGTGGCCAAATTGGGCAAATCCTCAATATTAATAACTTGCCCAGTTTTCATCGTATCACTTATCCCTTTAGCAAATTTCTTCCTATTGTGTTAAGAAAGCATTTGGTTAAAGGGATAAGAAAAATACCTAATTTTGGGGGAGCTATTTCAGTTGTACAAAAGTAGCAGCCTATAGGTGACCGGCACCATAGTTTTGCAAATTTTGTCACGCTTGTGTCACACAAGATGCTTCAGTTGTGCGCCTCTTTGCATCATTTGGAGATTGAATGTGAACCTCATGTGGCGTGTCGAACACACATCAGAGTTTGAAGTGCTTGCTTCAACTTAGTCATGCTCGACTGTCGGGATGCCTTGTTCATCTGTTGACAGCACAGATGCTCTGAAAGAGTGATGGAATGTCTACTATATATCTTTAGCTCAATCCCTAAAAAGAATGAGAGCTCTCTGTTGGAATCAGAATATTTTATGCAGGCAACATGGTGGGGAAGTGCGGGATTTTGCTATATATTGCAGCCTGTGGCATGTTTCCATCCAATTTCTTCAAATACAAAAATATAGCTGCACTTGATACATAAATATACACCCCCTCAAATATTTTCAGAGTGTAGATCGTATGTGTTGTAAAGTTAGAGACCGATTTGCAAAACTAGGTGACTTGCAAAACTAGGCACGTGATAGTAGCTCCCCTTAGATGGGGTCAATCAGGGTCAATCGATCACTGATCTGTTCTACTTATATTTATAGACGTGATGTGATAGCCGTAGGTGGCTATGCGAACTGGCAACGGAGCTTCAACCAACAAAAAAAAAACGTATCCCTTGGGCAACATTTGGCGCCCGGAAATTGCATTACTGCTCTTCTTCTCTTCGTCATCCTCATCCGATAACTGAGAGGGTGTAAACATAGGCTGGACACACATTTTTCGACTCACGTCTCGAGAAACCATATGATCTCCTCTCCTGGGATTCTGCTGGCCTCGACGGAGAGTAGATGACTGAATTTTGTCTTAGCCTTTCGCAGAACAAGTGTTGTTCTTTAGTAAACTACTCACTGACTCGTGTCGATTGTCCCTATGCCGTTGCACACCTTGATTTAAGTACCGGTTCGTGAATAAGAAACGTACACTAACTGGGAAAAAAGAATGTCTGGTCATTTTTTGGACAAAGTTGGTGCTGTAACACAAGAACCAAACATTTTCAGAACTAAGCTCTGGTGTATGAGACATAGCTAAGGAGGTGTAGATTGTACATACCAAGTCTGGGGATGAATGAATGAAAACTCAGGATAAGGCAGAGCATTCACTGTGACAACTTCCAAAAATGGGATTTGACAAAATGGGAAATTCTGAATGACTGCAACCTACTGAAAGCAATTCACAACTTGAGGAAGAGATATTTTGAAAACTGGATCTCCCTGCTATTGTTATGAGCTTCATAAAGTCTTTGGGCTAGAAAATTTATATCCTCCCCTAAAAGGTAAATTTGAACTTGTTCTCCACTTTATGTATTTTTCACTCAATATATTTGTTGGAATGAGGAAAAATGACTCCCTATTAATGTTTGTAGTGTGTATAATACAAAAGGTAGGTAGAAATGTTAAAATGACCATTGCATGATGTCTGTAGAAGTTAATTTCCAGAGTTTTTCTGAAAGTAAACAAGTATCTACAACATCGGTCCTTCTTTTCTGCAAGAAGAAAAAATGCTACCACCCTTTTGAGTTAATCCATGGAGACTCAGGATGTCCTTTAAACAACACCTGAAGTATAATATGACAGCAAATAAATTTACACTGGGTATAACTTGAATAGTCCCCAAGAAAAGTACATTTTGCATAGAGCAATCATCCTGGACCAATCCTTGACATTTTTCTTGGTGAATTGGGGCTGAAAATATTTCACAAGGCACTTCTCATACCTAGGAACACTATCCCAAGGAAATAAACAGAGGTCCTATTCATACAAGGATCTGAGACCCCCAGACCTTTCTAGGCCTGATTTGGAAATCTCTCTGTCATGCTTCAGTGAGCTTTGTGGGCCATTTGAGAAGCATCTGTGCCCAAAACTCAAGAGATAGGTAGAAGCACTTGGCATGGACATTTCAAACACCCATATTAACTGTAACCCCTTGGAAGCAGGGTTTCTGGGAACCATATTGACTATATGTCTCTTAATTTTCACAGTTTCTTGAAGTTTTATTAGCCATTAAATGCTTTATTCCTGGCAATGTGGTCAAATCAGATCATGGAACAGTAATAGTTATGTATATGTACAATACTATGACAATAGATACCTTCTCCTATCAATCCTGGGCAATATTTGCAACTGCAAATGTCCAAGAAGGGGAATCAATTCAAATTCACTTTTTTGGGGAGACTATAGAATTTTATATCTCAGAGACTTTATGGGGCTTATGACAATAGCAGGGAGATTGAGTGTTTAAAATATTTCTGCTTCAAATTGTGAATTGCTTCCAGTAGGTTGCAGTCATTCAGAATTTCCCATTTTGTCAAATCCCATTTTTGGAAGTTGTCACAGTGAATGCTCTGCCTTATCCTGAGTTTTCATTCATTCATCCCCAGACTTGGTATGTACAATCTACACCTCCTTAGCTATGTCTCATACACCAGAGCTTAGTTCTGAAAATGTTTGGTTCTTGTGTTATAGCACCAACTTTGTCCAAAAAATGACCAGACATTCTTTTTTCCCAGTTAGTGTAGTTCCGAAGATAAAGTCTTACATATGTTGATAGTCGGACCTCTCCTGGGATTCCGCTGGCCTCGATGGAGAGTAGACAACTGAATGAATTTGTCTAAGCCTTGTGCAGAACATGTGTTGTTCTTTAGATAAACTACTCACCGACTCGTGTCGATTGTCCCTATGCCGTCGCACAACTTGATCTAGGAACCAGTTCTTGAATTAAAAAGTAGTCCCGAAGATAAAGTCTTACAAATGTTGATAGTGATGCGATTATAGTCGCCTCCAACACTATTGAAGTCTCCACCAGAGATGACGGGCATTGAAGCCCCTAGAAAAATCGACGGCCTGACGTACAAATTGTCCGGGTTAGCGATGATGGCTCCGCACGTTGATGATGAGATACATACCCATCGTTCACATTCGCTTGTCCCGGTAAGTCTCTTTCCATTGGAGGCAAGAAATCCAGTTTGCGCTGCTCGTTGAAGTCAAGTTGTGAGGGTTTAGGGATGAGTTTCGGCGTCGAGTTCCACAGCTTTGCATCGCGACTTCGAAGCTTCACTTCCCACACATGCAGTGCTAAATTAGGATTAGCGCTGGGCAGATTGCGAGTTACGACAAGGACACGACGGTCTGCCCTTGCCTTTGACTTCCTTTCCAAGTTTTTTCAACCTTTCTCGTTCGAACTTCGCTGGGGTCCCCGTCATTCTTGACCAGTATCACAAGGTGACAATGCCGCGTATGAATCCTGCCTCGAGTAACTGTAATATGCTCAGTTACACCGTTGTATGGTGCGCCGTCCGTACTATCAGCCAACTATCAGCTGCGGTTTGATGTAAGGTGTGTCGGGCCAATGTCGGTTGAATGTCGGGCCGACGCTGTCGGCGCCAGACGAAAACGGAATGTTATGTGTGACGTTTGGAAAGTCACACCTGAATCTGATGAGCGAAATGCTCATAAGTACTCAACCAATACTCAACGCGCAACTCTCTGACTTGCGTCCAATAGTTTACATCAATAGCAGCTGATGGAAACCAATAACTATACCCAATGTCGACCCTCCAGCGACTAAACACACGAAACGATGGGCAGGAACTCTGATTGAAACAGAGCTTGAATAGAGCTCACGCAAATTTTTGTGTTCTTGAATCGATATCCGTCCCTCACCCCATTAGCAGCCGTGTAATCCCGTCCCCCTCACACCTGCCTCCTCTACTCTCCCCCTTACGCGATACATGTCAGCGGAAGGCGAAGAACCACCCTCCACCATGATATCCGTCTACGTCGTCCTCCATCTCATCCCCCCAGCGATGGCTCAAAAACTCTCCCCTACTAACCGAACTTCGGCCCTATCTCGCGTCTCGCGTCTTCTGCACCGCGGCATCCTCTTGTATTTCCCACCATGTCCAAGCATACCTGGGGCCTGTGTTTCTCTGACAGATGGCCAGTTCCCTTTCTTAGCCGTCTTTTCACGGGATTGGAACATCGACTAACCTCGAGATGACGCGGATGGGAATGGAGAGTCACTAGCCGATGGTATTACCCCCTCTCAAATCTTTTCAAGCTGGGGTGGGTTCGCAATGTGAACGGACTGGAGAAGCTCTGATCCAAGCACTGCGAGACGACATCCAACTTCTCACCCCCCTCAAGCCCGAGCTCGATGCTAAAATCGAATTGGAGCTCCGCGACGAGCGCGCAAACTCGTGAGGAACGTGAAGGAAGACGGCATCGACGAGGATTGAGGTTCTTTTTTGTGGGGGGGGAGAGATGGTTTTGATGGCCTCGCGGGCATCTACGTCCCCGCGGATGGATGTCGATGCCTCAAATTATAGATCTCTCCTGTCAAGTCTCTCGCACCACAATTCACCTCTCCTTCTCTGCCTCATCCGCGATGCCCTACGAGCGCAGTTTGACAGTAGTTCTTGGGTCTTGATCACCATTAAAGACGCTAGGATGCACGCTCACAAGACCTTCGACTCTATCTCTACGCATCGGTTGGCATTTATTGAGGAGACTTCTCGAGTATGCCCTTCATTGCTCCCTTCATTGCGGTAGCTAACGAGTCTACAAACAGCTGGGTCTCGTAGAACAAGTGATGTACACATCGACCTCATCAAAGTCCCAGCTATTCTCCGCTACCGCAACCTCAAGCTCAAATTTGAACTCGCAAACGAACCCACACCACTTAATTCCCCCTAGCCAATGACAAATGACAACAACCCAGCTTTTGCAACGCCGTCACATAAAACGTCCGCTGCAGTGGCGCCGTTCCTTCTATCTCCCATAAGCTAGCCCCTCACGCCATGCACTACCCTCCACCGGACTAGACCACGGAAACGCCACTTCAAGGTCTCGCCCTTCCCTCGACAATCTGCACCACGCCCCCGCCCCAAACCATGGCCCCATCCCCTGAAAACACTCCGGATACCTCACCTCCGGATCCTGCGTAAAATACGTATCATTCCACACCCCAACGCCCGCGTCATCCACTGATAGTCATGCGTGAACCCGGGAGGGTAGACTATCTCAATCACGGTGGAGATGCGGGTGGGCGGCATGAAGACGAGGTGGGTTAGGCCGTTGCTGTGTACGCCTAGGAGGTTCTGTTTAGGAATGGTTACTAGTCGTGCTGAGGAAAGGGGGAAAAAGGGCATACGGTCGTCTGAGAACAGACTTGCTCGTCCTTGGTCGTTCTCCTTCGGGAACTTGGAGTTACCACTCTGGCCGCTGGGAAGACTTGGTCGCATCTGTCAATTGAGCCCACTCAACGAGTCCCCCACCCATTTCCACCTCCGTCCTTGACCATCTCAACTTCCACCCTCTTCTTCTCTCCTCTCCGCATTCTTTCGCGCAACCAACGCCTTCAGCTCCTTAACGAGCACTTCACGATCTTCTTCCTGTTATGCCCACTCTGATCGACATTGGTAAGTGTTCCTTGGTTTATGCGGGCAGCCCTTCGGACTGACATTGATATACAGAACAAGTACACTATTTGAATTCTAGACATACGTTCCTTTTCGACGAAGAATCCAAGAGGGTGTAACTCGTTCTTTGTAAACAGACCAGACGATGTCTTTTTCAACTGTCACCTCCCCTCCTCGTATCCTTCCACCACCACTTACCCGCTTATACCTTCTTTTAACGGCCCTACGTCTCGGCTCTGTGGTCCGCCGACGACCCCGGTCCCGCCGTCATCACAGACCCAGAGTTAAAGTCAGACCCAGAATCAAAGTCAAAGTCTACGTAACGATCTTTCAACGCCCAACATGCACCACGTGCTCCCCTGACTCGCCAACATCCCGCGTGATGATGAAGAGATTGTTGGCTAAGCCTGCTCCATATAGCGGAAGTGAGAGTAACGGAAGGAGTGTGGGTGTGGTGAAAAGGGCTGCTACCATTGCTGGTAATGGTAAAATGGGAAGGGCAAGGGGAGTGCAAGGAGGCGTGAGGGCAGGGCTGAAAGAAGGGTTAATGAGGAGACACGGCGTGCAGCCGCTATGGTAATCCCCAAGAAATCGACAAATCTTCCGTCGATGAAAGAAGGACCCCTGGAAAACCGGAGGATGAACAGCGTAAACTCCTCCGTCGAAACCATTTTCACCCAGCAGCTTTGACACTTTCTTCTATGCAATCACCTGCGCCCTCTCTCAAACCACCGTTCCTTACACCTGCTAGTGCACTCATGCAAGCGTATTGTGCATAGGAACAGAGCGAATGTGGCCATGATGCCGATCCTTCATCCCATTCCGTCTACTCCCCATCCTTTCTCCTCTTCAGACCCTAAACCCTCCACGACAACGATCCCGCTACGCCACACTACACCGTATTTGGCTCCTCCTCAGACCGCGTCAGACCAGTTGACAGCTTTGAGGCTCGCGCTGCTGGGTTTGGGTGGATTATTTCGGTTTGGAGGGCATTAAGCGCACTGCAACTGTTATATGTATTCTACTTCTTCAGCGGGTGGGGGTTGACGACGCTTAGAAGGAAGGTTTGCGGGCGCTGGAGGAAGGCAGTACGCAGGGGACGAAGAGGGGGAGGATAAGCCATGCCCGAGTTTACAAAATCCTGGTGGGAGGAAGAGTGATGCAATCTGCTACTAGAGGGGTCCAGGGAGTGCAAAAAGAAGGGAACACGGCTGAGCGCCAGCTTCTTCTTGTTGTTGTCCCATTTCCTTTGTGCTCGCGCTTATAGAGTTTGCTCGCTATGTTCACTGAAAAATCTGTCATTTGAACCTGGCAGTAGATAGACGAAAAGATGCGATCAACGGTAAAATCCAAGTAAAATCAGACCCAAATTCTCATCTATCTGATAGGCACTATTTGGTATGGGCACTCGCACTCAGTACTCAGTAGTGTTGTGACCGTAAGGAGCGCTCGCCATGAGTGATTTATTTAAATTATGACCTCAAAATATTGTCATGCTTGATGTTCTATTTAGAGACGTGAGATCAGATCTGCAGATACGATCAAAATTCGTGATTCCTTCCCCTCGGCTAGAATACCAGACCTTCAACCGATAAAAAAAAAAGTGTTTCTTCATTTGGCGCTCATAAATTGCTGTACTGCTCTGCCCTATACACTCTTCGTCTTCCTCATCCGATGACTGAGCGGGCGTAAAAATAGTGGCAGGGATACATGTTTTTCGACTCACATCTCGAGAAACCATATGATCTGGCCGAGGAAGTTAGTTGACAATGTTGTGATGAAGTATGCATTCGTACTCGGTGTCGTACCTCTCCTAGGATTCCGCTGGCCTCGATGGAGAGGAGATGACTGAATGAATTTTGTCTTAGCCTTCAGCAGGACAAGTGTTGTTCTTTAGATAAACTACTCACCGACTCGTATCGATTGTCCCTATGCCGTTGCATACCTTGACCTAAGTACCAATTCTTGAATAAGAAACGCATTTCCGAAGATAAAGTCTTACAGATGTTGATAGTCGGACCTCTCCTGGTGGGATTCCGCTGGCCTTGATGGGGAATAGATAACTGAATGAATTTGTCTAAGCCTTTAGGACAAGTGTTGCTCTTTAGATAAACAACTCACCGACTCGTGTCGATTGTCCCTATGCCGGCGCCGTGGTACACCTTGATCTAAGTACCAGTTCTCGAATAAGAAAGTGATTCCGAAGATGAAGTCTTACAAATCTTGATAGTGATGTGATTATAGTCGCGTCCAAAGTTATTCAGCTCTCCACCAGAAATAACAGGCATTGAAGACCCTTGAAGAATCGACGGCCTGACATTCGAATTGTCCGGGTTAGCGATGATGGCTCCGCACCTTGATGATGACATACGTACCCATCGTTCACGGTTGCTTGTCCCGGTAAGTCTCTTTCCATTTGAGCCAAGAAGTCCCCAGTTTGCCTGCTCGTTGAGGTTCCAGTTGTGAGGGTTTAGGGTAGAGTTTAGGCGCCAGGTTCCACAGCTTTGCATAGCGACCCCACCTCCCACACATGCACTGCTAAATGATGTTTAGCGCTGGGCGAATTGCGAGTTCCGACAAGGACACGGTCTGCCCTTGCCTTCGACTTCCTTCAACCTTTCTTGTCCGCTGGGGTCCCCGTCAATCTTGACCAGTGTCGCAAGGCAACAATGCCGCGTATAAATCCTGCCTCAAGCTGGTAAATTACACCGTAGTATGGTGCGCCGTCCGTTCAGCCAGGCTTTGATCTAAGGTGCGTCGGCGCTTGCCAGTCGGCGCCAGACGAAAATGGAATGTTATGCGTGACACTAGTCACGCTTTCGTCTGTGACACGATTGCTGAGCTTGCCCTGTGCTGCGTGCATGTTACTTTGGTTTTACCAAGTGACTTGCCAGCTGTGGCTTCGTGGCCTCTCTTAGACTATTTCTTACTGTGACTGCGTACAGCGGCATACTTTCTTGAGATCCGCGCCAATTTGAATCATATTCAAGCACTCGTCGCCTAAACCAACACCAACGCCACCCCATACAGATCTTTCTTCCAAACCCACACAAAACACCCGACAATGGGGGAGAGAAATTTCAGCACCCTCTGGAGCCGAGAAACACCTAGCTGGATTGTGCGAGGCGCCTGTCCAGAAACCCTGGATTCTGGAGGGCATTCGACTTGTGATTGACCGAAGAGAAGATGGGGGGGGATTGCGTCTTGGCTTTGTTTGGGTGAGTGCTTGGGTTTGGTGCATATCGGTGACGAGTACTGATTCTGGTTCAAGTTGTTCATCAGTTGGCTATACATACCACTGCCAGATCTCGGGCAAGGAGAGCTGGCCTAGCTGCATAATCACGATGCCAAAGACTACGCCACCGCCGTAAAAACGACACGTACGTCCCCTCTGCATCTCAGTCCCTCCTCCATCCCTGACCCACGCCCCTAGAAGCCATGACCCACCCTGCGCCGTGAATTGTCGAAACATGGCAGGGCTCGATCACTACTAGGACAAATTTTCGACGACTTAGCAACAAACGGTGTTCGGACGGCAACTCAAACATGTCGTTACGCTGGGGAACCCACTGGAGATACGTACCCATCAGGCGGAGAACGATGCGAAGCTGACTTCGAGGGGGGGAGATGCCGAAAGAGTCAAAGGTTCGTTTCATTTCCTTTGTTGTCCTTTCCTAGTTCTAACAAACCCACACTACTAGCATAGATTCATGTATACTCATCCTCCGATACGCCAGCATCTACATCGGTGTCCAAGGTACTCCTACCCTCTTCCCTTTCCCTTCTAACCTCATCCGCCCCTCTCTTCACAGATGTGGGTCCACCAAGCCTCTTCTATTAGCTTCCCTTTGAGGTCCGGATCCTCCTAATCGATTTTCCTTCACGTCTATCAAACGTATACGAATCCGTCACGGCCAGCTTCAAAAGAAAGATGTCGCTTATATCCCACACGGCAATGAAACATGGACGACCGAGTTCATGAGAGAGGGGAGGGGAAAGAGAATGCGTGGGAGGTGTATGCAGTCTGAGGTGTTTTGCACGCATATAGGTATTTGAGATGGGATGACGATGCCATTGGAAGGGTTGGCTTCACCTTTGCCTCGGACTCGACGACGACATCTTTACTCTTCTCTCCGCGCCCGCCCAGCTTGCCCATCGTCCACCTACTACTTACTCCCAGTCCGGAGCTGTCATTGGTTACATATCGAGAAGGTGGTGGTACCCATTTGAATATTTGAAATCAGGATAGCTTTGGGATTCGCACGCGAGTACAGCATCAGTATTTCTACACTCCGCTTGTCACGACTTGTTTGGACTTTTTTCAGCTCGTACGAGCCCAAACGAGTCCAAACGAGCCACAAGTCACAAGTTGACAAGTAGATCCAAAAATCTGACAAGTTGAGTTGCGAGATTGCTCTAACAAGCTGACAAGTTCAGAAAAGTTGTAATCTTATTTTTGGTATTTAATAGCAGAAAAGTGGTCACACAGTATTATGAGGGTATATATTATGAGAGTACAATAATACAGTATTGAATTATCCTTTGCTATCCACACCAGCGACACTGGGAGGGACGCAGCCCTCCCCCCACTGGGTCCCTTCCACAAACTCTGTATATCCCCTTCTCGAACCCCCCTCCTGCTCTTGCAAGTGCATACTAGTACATATGCCGTCAAAACGGCATGCACAGTGGGGTGACGTGGCAATGGTCGGTGTGTGGTGTGTGTGGGCAACGGCGACTGGCTAGGGACTTGTCAGTTGAAAGGGTTATCGGGGGTTGCTGACCTTTGGTGGCACTCGTTCCTCCATCATTGATTCTCGTCGTCGTCGTTGCTGCTGCAGACTTCGTGGCGCGTCTGGAAGGTACCGTTGACGTGTGGCTGGTGCTTGGCTGGTTGCTGTGGCTGGTGGCGGCATTGGGTGGGTGGCAGGTGGCGTTGACATACCCTAAGAGATTCATACAACCTGTTGGCGGAATTTTGCTGATAGCGTTCCCGTTGACAGCAATGGAGAAAGTGTGTAGCAGCATGCAGATGCAACAAACGTAATAGAGGACCTATCAATAACAATATTGTGTCATTCAAAAAACGGAGCGAGAGAGATGGAGAAAAGAACTCACCATGGGCCATCGCCAGGCACACTTTCCTCGAATAATTGAGATGTCGAGGATAATGTGCTGATGACACCATTCCACAGGTGACAAGGGAGAATGCTGCAAGAATCTCTTGTTGACATAACATCTAAATCAACAATAAAAGGAAGGAGGATGAAACGTACTGGCTGGTGCTCGTGGTTGTGGCTGGTGACATGGCATCACAACGTCGTTTTCTCAGGGTGGTATGGTTGGTGTGCGCCGTGGTGGTTGTGGGAGGTCAAACGATGTTTCTGGGAGGTGGTCGTTGTTGGTGGTGGTGGTGACACATCGGAGGTGAGGTGGGTTGTCGCTGTGAACGATGGTGTGGTCTTGAAGATGAGAGGGAACCAAGAGGGAACGGACGTAGTTACCAAGTGTTACATAAGCAAGTCAAACCACATTTTTTCGCTGTCTTCACATTGTCAGGCACCTCGTCAGCTTGTGAGCTGGTTTCAACTTGTAACTTGGCGACAAGCTGTCAGTGACAAAAAGTCCCGACAAGCTGACAAGTAAAATGTAGATTTGCTGATGAGGGTGGAGGCAAACCAGAGCTATTAGTGGAAAGCGAGTGCCATGGGAGGTGACTGAGGCAGTACTTAGGTAAATAGGCAAGAAAATCTTGCACTGCCGACATGTTGAAGGGCATAAATCGGGACGCGCAATCTATCTTTTTGGCATCAGTACAGCATCATGAGTTTCTGAGTATTATAAGGTCGCAACGGACGTTCAAGTCGCGTCAACAAGTAGTGATTATAGATAATAGTTCGCTGACCATGGGTGGTGGTGATGAACATATATTGTTCATACACGTGATTCTAGGCTATTCCTATGCTCATTGCAAATGACTTTGTTTTATGTATCACTATCTATGATTGTTATACTGGCCTGGAGACGAAAAATGACAGGAAATGGAGTGGGAACGAGTACTTAATCGAGTTTAAACAGAGTGTTTACTCAAGTCCAATGAGAGCCGACCAAGGCTAGTTGCACGCGCACAAAACAGTTGTGTGTCCGCTGACACACAACTCCGAGCCGCTGCTCATATTTTCTCCAACTCACGTGGTCCACGCCTGGATGAGCGTTAGGAGACTCTAACATATTTTTAGATCTACCTTTCTGCTAGGCTCTCGTCTTGACATCTCACTCCTCAACCAGGTAAGATCTTCATCTTTCTATCTAGGCTATTGTCTTGATATCTTACTTCATTGTCCAGTTTAGCATACACATTTTTCGTCACCAATAATACTACGTATTCATCGTCCCTCAATCTATCTCATGAGTGAAGGACATGCAAACCTCTTTGCGAGTGCAATCCCAGAAAATGGATCATCCAGCACTATGGGATCAAATCCAATTGGAACAAGTGATGAAGATCAAGCCAACCCTACTGGACAGGATGGACCTGGAACTAGAGACCGAGCCAACTCTGTTGCGCAGGATGAGAATCTCAACGATGACACAGGAGAAATCCAAATCCCACTTCGCAATAACGAGAGCAATGACGACCTCGATGAATTCACTCGAGGAGAGAAGCCTCAACTTGAGGAAGAGTCAATCAAATATATGGACGACACTAGTCTCTCCTAGACAGCTTCGATATGATGTGAAGTCGTACCTTAGTTCACGATCATATGAAGTCTGTTGTTTGTCGCGCCCCAAAAACCATGTCAGGAAATCTTTATGTAATCTTCGGACTCTGAAATCACGGTCCGACCTCGTCACGTCGATATTGGTCTGCTCCCTTCACGCCCTGACGCGTTTTGAATACATTCTTCCCTTTATGCATCCTGAACATTGACTTTTTGGCTTTTAGAATTACTTCGAACGCGTATTGAACACGAAATTATGGCCAAACCCCGCTGGCAGGACCCTCTAGGGCTGGAAACCATCAACACCATCGTCAAAAAGATTATACCACTGTGGACGAGCGGGCTACATATGGTTCAGCTCAACCTCGTTTCAGCTATCCTTGATGGACAAGATGTTCTCTGCTGCACCGCAACTGGAGATGGGAAGTCGGCAGCCTTTTCCATTCCATGTCTCGTGCTTTCAGAGTACAACCAGCACCCCGAGTCCTATCCCGCCAATCTGCCCACCCGTTCAAGGCCAATTGGCGTCGTGGTCACACCGACAAAAGGACTAGCCAGCAATATTGTTTGTTTCCCTTCTTTGTACACATTCTCTCACTAACAATGTTCTAGGTGAACGAACTTTCAAAACTCAACGTGTCTGCTTTCTCATATTGCCATGAAACTCTCAGCAATGCGCGAAAGAGTGGAGTTCGTTTGGCACGAGAGATCATGGAATGCGTTAGGTGGCAGGTCATATGTGTGGATCCGGAGCATCTGCGCGACAAGGAATGGAGAGAGATCACCGAGAGCCCGACTTTTCGATCCAATGTCGTGTTCGCTTGCATCGATGAAGTCCACCTGATCAACGAATGGGGACTTTCATTCCGTCCAGCATTTGCAGCCATTGGAGCCTTCTTCCGTGGACGCTTTCTGCCGTCGATAGCTGTTGTTGGCCTCAGTGTGACACTAGAACCCGGGGCCCCAACAACGTCTGTTTGCAAAAGCCTGGGTTTCTTTGAAGGCAACTTCCTCCTCATCCGGCGATCCAACGAGTGCCCAAATACACAGTTCAGTGTTCAGTTTGTCGCTCATGGACTGAACGGCGACAAATTCCCTGATCTACTTCCATACATGAACAGCGGAAGGAAGACCATCATTCACTGTCGAACACTCGATCAGGTCTTCCGCGTATACGCTTACATTTGGCGGCTTCAACCAGAAGGTGCCAATAAACTTGTCCGAGCACGACTTTACCACAGTATATGTCCTCCAGAATACAACGAGGAGACGATGCAGCTTATCGACATTGATCTGAGTTGCCAATTTATCATCGCTACCGTCGCATTTTCAAACGGCCTCAATGCGAAATCTCTTCCGTAATTAGCTGTACTATCTTTTGATTGTGTCAAAAGTGTCTTATTATTTACCTTTTGCAAGCTCTATCTCAGCTACATGTGGTTCAAATGCAGCTCGAAAACAATTAGAAACAGCCTAATGGTGCTGACTCATCGCAATTGAAACCCCGCGAAATGTCTGTTACACACCTTGAGGTTGCAATTTGCTTTTTGAAGGTGCAAATCTTTCTTATTTGTGCTCAATAATTCTTTTTACTTTTTCCAGGTACCGAAAAAGTGTGAAAAAAATGAATTACATCGAAAGGTGGGCAAAACAGCCGTCTAACCCGTTTACGGCCGTTTTTGACCCGTCCGCTTCTGTTCTGACTTTCGAAGTGCAAATTTACGGCTGTTAATCGACTGCTGTCCCCATCAAACGGACGGTGCGCAGCCCTAGTAGAATCGTTCTCGTGTCAACACAAGCACCATGACTCTAAGCCGTTTACAGCTCTTAATTCTCACACACAAAATAACAATGTTTTGAAGAAGAAGAAGAAAGTCTCTTGTGTTCTAGATCAATCAAAAGCTCTTATTATTGCCGAGAAACAATGCTACATCGCTCGCATCAACATCTGTTACGGAAATCCCCCTATAGAAACGTCTTCCTTAGACTGTCTGGCTTCTGGGCGTCGCTTACCCTGCTCGTTGTGTCTAGCACGGCAAGGGGGTGGGTCTCTTGTTTTTCCACCATCACCATTGCCCACCGGTTCGACCCAATTACCAGTCTTGACCGCACAGAAGGCCACCGCTCTCCAAAAATTGTCTTTGCCGAAGAAAGACAAGTTGACGAAGAAGGAACGAGCGATTGCTGAGAAACATCTGCTCAATTTTGGCGAGTCAATTCGGAAGCTAGAGCGATGGTCGAACATCCACAAGTATCGGGCTCGCACTTCCTATTTTCCCTCTCATATTGTATCATCGTTACTTGACAGGTTGCTCATTATCCATTTTCCATCCAATGTTGAACAGGTTCTCTGTGGCGCATGGCATTATTACTCGACTCATGGAAGCGCTCTCTTCGACTCAATCATCGCGATTCAGGTAGTCATACTGGTTGAACGAAATCAAGCATGAGGAATCACGGGAGCTAAGCAACGTGAAAAACGAAAGGTCGCAAGGGTTACTGACTCCCAGGATGAAGATGTTAGTGACCCCATCTTGTCTGACGCTGGGCCCTCCGAACAACCGATTGACAACCCTCTTCAAGAAGAACATGCAAATGTATCCTTGAGTCGAAAACGCCAAGCTCTGGAAGAAATAACTGTCAATGCAAAGCGCCAGCGAGCTCCCAGAGCGGCTCAACCTGGTGTTGCTGAAGTGTCAGAAAGCTATGGTCCTCGCTACCGCACACGCGCAGGTCGTCCCCCAGAAGCGTCAGCTGGAGGTGATGAAGGAAAAGAAAACAGAGGTCAAAGGGTATCAGCACGATTGAGAAAACATTGAGTTCTGTAGTCGTTTAAAACATCATTTGATTGTACAATGGTTTAATTCAATGTTCTACTCAGAGTCGTATGCACCATTTCCTGTGTCATTGATATTGTCACTTCCGTCTGAACAAAATCCATTCCCCAAACCATCATCTTCTTCATCACTTGAGTTATCCTTGCCTTCTTGCTCATACCAAGCTTTGTGTGTCAACTGGTCGCTTGACAAATAAACATCATAGTCTGAGCTGCTAACGAGGTGATTATTGCTTGGATCTTCAGTGTCTTCATTTTCCGTTTCAGTGCTAGAAGAAGGAGTTGACGAGGATGCAGAATCTGACTTAGAACTGTCAGATACACTTTCAACGTCGCTGAGAGAATCGTCATTGCTAGGCTGCGAATGATCTTGCACTTCCAAATTGGAACTAGGTACAGCAGTCTCTTGGGCCTGTTTAGATGATTGAATATCAGCAATGATGTCTGCGTAGGCCGTTGTCTTGTTGATAAAGTCGTTAAGTTTTTTTTGCTGCAGTCGGTCATAACCTTGATTGAACTGGTTGACGGCCACATGTCCTAGGGTTCGTCCAGCACAGAAGAGGTGCAAGTTCTCGTCTGCACATAAAGTAAGTAGCAATCGAAGTTCATCCCTCAAATGAGGGGGTGTGTGTCTTGCCACGGCGTTCGAGTTGAAAAGCTTTCTCAACCTCTTCCTTTATTCGCAAGAAATGGTCGACATTTGGTGAGAGAGTTTGACGATAGAAATTATCATCGAAGTCGCCACCTCTTTTCTTGACCATATCCTCAAGCCAACGATTGTAATGCTCTTGCAGCAAATCTCCTTCAATCCACTTTCCAAGCTCGCCAGTAACATTCACAAGCCAGTTATTGAGGATCACGTCACGAAGGTCTCTAGATGCCTCATACCGCAGGAGACAGTAGACTTCCAGTAGGTACGTCATATAGTTGTGGTGAGACGATCCTGCAAATGTGAATATCCAGATCTATAAACAAATTTCCAGCTGAATGAGCTGATTTTTAAAGAAGATCATGATTGGTTTGTCACCTTCAAAATCTCGAAAACACGTCCTATATCACCCTCTGAAACAGCATAGGCAATTTCGATCCACCAGCCAAAATCTTGAAGAAAGAGAACGCTGTTTGCAAGGACATGGTCGCCGTCAAAGTCGTCGGCCTCTTTATGAACCTTGGGTACATCCTCATTTGGGAGAAGAGGGACCGGTGCTGAATTTGTAGAGCCAGTAGATTGATTTGTCCATGCTGGCCCGAATAAAATTTTCATAGGCTCAGGCGCGTTGCTTGATTTGGCCTTAGATAGAGCTTGATCATAAGCATCCTGAGACGCGTATCGATCGATGAGAGAACCAGCTTGTTGTATCAATGTATCAAGAGATGGAAGCTCATTTCTACTTGTCAAAGACTTGAAGTGCGACAGGAGATCTGGCTTGGCACCATAATTTACCCTAATAGCGTTGCAAAAAGTTAATACCGAGAACGAAAATATTCGTGCAAAGTCACCTCCAACAATCGAGAACTTGTGCCTTCCAAATTAATGTCATACTTCTTACTGTGGGGTAATAGTCACAGCTACTCAGGTTGGTTGGACGTTTACATCCAGCTGCGTTCGAGCTCCGGGACAGCGATGAGGGGTCTTTCGACGTTGGTGGTCCATAGTGATTTGTGGCGATTGAGTTAACCTTTGTGGCTTTTGCATAGTGTTTAAAAGTCCGGTCTGGTCCGGTTTTTTGATGCCTCTGGGCTTTAACCGTAACCGTAACCGGTCCGCATTTTTCCCAAAAGTCAAAAGACCGAACCGGACCCCAAAAAACCGCGGTCTGCGGTCTTTTTGCGGTCTATAGACCGGTCTTGGTCTTCTTCGGTTTTAACCGGTTTAAGACCGGTTTTCTGGCCAATATTTTAAAATTATGAATCAGTAAATTTGTTAACGTGTTTCGTAGCTTTAAAAAGAGCCCAAGAACGTTAAATTCCGTTGGGAATTGGTGTTTCTATAAAAAAGGTCGTGTACATCTACTATTTTTAACGAAATTTTACATTTTTATTTATATCTTTGTCAATTCTGAACCAATTAATACGTGCTTGGGTGCGTTTTGAAGGGTATTTAAGGGGCTACAAAAGACCGGTCCAAACCGGTTAAGACCGGTCCATTTAGACCGGTTTTTTTGCGGTCTTTAGTTCTCAAAAATAAAAGACTGTAACCGCAGGTCCGGTTTTTTGCGGTGTTGGTCCGGTCTGGTTACGGTCTTTTTCCAGTCATGAGACCGGACTTCCAAACACTACTTTTGCATGCCAGATTTCCGGTGTGGAGACGCGATTTCGAAAAGATTTATGATTGTCAGGAATAGGACACAGGTATTTCTGTAGTCGCAGGATTGCAACATATGAGGCACCGTCACCGCGAACCCAGAGAAGAAGTTTGTTTGATGCTTCAGGGATGGGTGGTATACACTTTTATGATAAAAACCAGACATATGCCTGGAGGGCGATGTGTATAATGCCTAGAGGTTCAATGAGATCGCATATCTCATTATTCTAGGATATTTCATTGCGATTTTCATATGGATACCTGGTGTTTTCAATATATATTTCATTCTCAACCCCAGGATATTTCATTGCGATGTTCATATGGACACCTGGCTCTTTCAATATATATTTCATTCTCAACCCCAGGATATTTCATTGCAATTTTCATATGGATACCTGGCGCTTTCATTGGATATTTCATTGTTAGCCCCAGGATATTTCATTGTGCTTTTCATCTGAATGCCTGGCGCTTTCAATGGATATTTCATTCTTGTTCCTAGGATATTTCATTGCACTTTTCATAGATATACCTGGTGCTTTCATTGGATATTTCATTGCTAAACCCAGGATATCTCATTGTGCTTCTCATTTGGATGCCTGGCGCTTTCAATGGATATTTCATTCTTATTCCTAGGAGATTTCATTGCACTTTTCATATGTGTACCTGGTGCTTTCAATGAATATTTCATTTTTAGCGGCAGCTGACCTTTCAGGGTCCAGGGTGCATTTCCAAATGTAAAATAGCAATAAAATCAGGAAAAATTAGGGCTCATTGCTGATCATCATGTTGGGTAACATGTCAGGGTCCAGGGTCCAGTTCCAAATATGGTAATATATCCAAAAATAGCCAGAAAATAGCGGAAAAATTGAATATATATAAAAATGGTGTACAGAACATCAGGCACTGCCTTCAGGGTCCACTTCAGGTTCCATCCCAAAAGGGAAATATCACCTGGTTTGACCAAAAAGTGAAGAAAACCAAGCGGAGAATGATTTTACCTATCAGGGTCCATGTAATGGGATGTGG